AGAGAGTCGTCTCTTGTAATTGCGAGCACAAGAATACTGTGAATGCGAATTAAGAGAGGTCAGGCTGACCTGAAATCCAAATATCACATCAGCCTAAACAACCTAAGCTGACTCAGGCAATTTGGCAATACATAAATATGTCTACTCCAATTTTAACACTTCTTTTTTTTCTAAAGGCATGTCAAAAAAATAAAGCCTTAACTAGTTTAAATCATGCAATAATTAGGAGCAGCGCTACTACCAAAATTTAAAATCCTTTTTCGAATACTCCATACATTTTTCATTAAATAGGTGAGTACATTTTTATTTCTCCGGTGCAACTTATTCCTCGTAAGTGCTTAGATTCATCATCTTATTAGCATAAGACCAATAAATATTGGAATCGATCTCAAAAAGCCTGAGGAGATAGAACAGATTAAAATCCATTCGGAAAAGCTGTGAATTTGGAAATGGTGATTTTGATATATTGAAAGCAGTCTGACCGAACAAAAGCGGTGTGGAAAATTAGTTTGGTCAGGCAAGCTCGAACAGGCGCTATTATTTCCGACACTGACGAGACCCCTGGCCTCTTCTACTTGCACGAAATCCGGTGCTGACCGGCTTGATCTAGCAAAAAAATGTGTATAGTTGGTGACAAACTTCGTTCAACAACAACCTAGACAATACTCTCGACACCAATCAGACCTAGAATGTGACAGAATAATCTGACTAAAATTGGTACGCCCAAAGATTTCAGCTCCTCTTGATGTTCCCTGTCATTGCCGACAATGAACATGTAAAATAAACAGCCTTGAACAATTTTATGGCGGAAAAATGTTAGGCAAGTGTCGCTTCACAAAGTCTTTAGTCTGCCCCCCTCCTGATTGGTGCAAAGTAGAAATGAACATAGTATTTAGTAGGGGTGCCTATAAATGTATGTATCTATATGTATGTATATATGTACGCAAGTATGCATGCTTGCATGTCTGTGTATATATGCATGCATGCATGTTTATTTATTTGTATATATGTATGTGTGTATTTATGTGTAGATGAATCTGTGTATGTATGTATGCATGCCTTCATACATAAATTTAATTATTTATACTTATATATATATATATATATTTTTATGGGGGCGTGTTTGCATCCACGTATGCTGATGTATGTGTTGTATGTATGCATGCATGCAAGTATATATATGCATGAATGAAGGTGCCGATGTACGAATGTCTGCATGCATATGTATTGCTGGTATACATGCCACCTACTGCCAGGTAATCCTCTTCTTCATCCAACGCATCTTCTCATCTCCAATGAGATATCGCTTCGTCCTGTTCAACAGTCGAACTCCGCCAGTCCCTAGCCGCAATGCCTTCGCTTCCTCTGGCCTCGGACGGGGCCAGAAGGCAGATCTGTATTGGGCCCGGACGCCGGGAAGCGGAGTGTCGGGATTGCCGCATCTCGGGGCGGTCAGGAGGTATGTCGTTGCCGCGTCCAGTCGTCCAGTGCTCGGCAGACCGTAACGCAATTGAAAGGTGGTCAAGGCACGCCGATACTCGGCCGGTGGTGTGAGCATGGCGGGATCCACGAGCTCGGGTCGCCGGGGTGATGAGAGAATGTGAAGAGGCTCGTCTATCGGATTGTAGGCGTCCTGCCTCGAGTCGAGGTAGCCGTATCGATAGAGCAGTCGCTGAATGTGAAGAATACCGCGTGCACGACCGGCATGAAGAACTCAGAAAGTTAATAAGACGAACCCAAGGATGAGAAAAAGACTTTTCTCAAATTTCGCAATGATGAGCTATTTTGGCGAAGTAGTTAGGGGTTAAAGACATATAAGATTGGGAATTGCAGTTCTACTGATACGCGAAATGAAGATACTCTCTGGAGAACCTGCATACAAATGATTAAATAACATATTTTGTACTTTCAGCCTACATAAAAT